AAAGCCCAGATACATCTTGCGTAAAAAGAGAAAAGCTATATAACAGAACATACATCCCCATCACAACTTCCTAACAGATTATGTAAGCCATTAACATATGAAGTGATACACATGCACATATATGTATCTGACACAAACACATAGAAATTCCAACAACAAGTACCTCAGCTAGAAAGAAAAAACGGAATAAATTCTGAATAACATTTTCAATAGTTAGCTTAACAATTACCAAGTCTGTGGAAAAAGTGCACACACACAGAGGTGTGAAACTTTTATTTCCCCCTACTATCTTCCCTTTGGCTGCCAAACACATAGCTCACTTCAAGCATAAACCACAAACCCACTAGCATTCAAAGGAGATCAGCAGAAGAAATGTTGTCAATGACACTACACAAGCAAGTAAGAAATACAGAACATCATTTACCTGGCTGTATCATCTCCAACTGCTACGATAAGGCACAACTTCCATACCTTTACAACATTGTAGCTGTAATATAAATATTCCTAGCTTAACCATATGAAGAAGTTGCTTAAATTTTTCACCTACTGCCATATTCTAGGACATCTCTCAGATTTGAGACAAATTTTCACATCACCACAGCTTTTTCTCCCAAGAAACACTCAAATACACTTTGCAGTCCCTATTACACACTAGCAGCAGATTGGTCAAGCTACGTTTCCTCCAGCAGACAGGCCTTCATCTGTCAGAGAGACATAAATTTGCACATTATCTCTAGTGGATGTAAAAAAAGTCATCCTCATCTGCAGTTACATATACAAATACATGTAGAACAGTAATACTTATGCTTTTATTTCAAAACTGTACTGTACATACAAGTTACAGTGTTTGGAAAGAAGCACACCAAAAAAAGTGACTTTGGAAAATAAAATCATTTGCTGAAACTAAGTGAATACTTTCTTAAAACAATCCACAGCTAGTCTGAATCTAAGATATTCTGTTTTTAATATTAATTGAAGGAGACGAACAACCAACTAAAGCAACAGAACCTGTTAATTACAGTGCCTGTAATAAATACAAGCAACACAGACAATGTTTTGAGACAATGACCTATAATAGATATTGCAAAAACTTTGGAGACTATCAAAGTTCAACCAGTTAAGACTCAGTGATTTTTCACCCTGGGCTGGGTTACACCAGTTACAGATGGATCGCAAACCAACTTAATCAAATTTGTTACACTGGATCATGAACCTGGCTGAAACAACGCCAAGAACCAAAACAAAGGCAAAGCCCAAAATAGTTTGGGACATTACATTGTTACATTAGCATAGTGAAGAGGAAGACCAAAAAAAAAAATTTAATTGAGGAGTACTTCTACTTGAGCTGAACTGCCAGTCAGTAAAGACTGGCAAGTTATTTATCATTTAAGAACAAAGTTTAAAAAAATAAATAAAAGACACTAGATGCTGTTGTGAAATGAAAGTGTCCTGAGAATTTAAGATCATTATAGGCAGAATTCCAACTAAAAAATATTTGCAAAGAGACAAGAAGTTTCCATTCATAAGTCATGGGAGCCAAGTCCACACTTTGTTTAAAAACAAAAAACAAACAAAAATATCTACTTCTCCTGTTTTCCAGAACATAATATTTTATCTAAGCAGAGCTTACATATGCTCTGAGCCATTCCTACTTGGAAAAAAAAGGAATTTTAAAGTAATCTATTTACCCAAAAAAAGAGTATTACACAAGCACACAATTTACAGCATCTGAAACAGTGCCCAATTCAGTTTACAAGGCTTTAAAACTTCTTTCTTCAATAACTCCAGGTCATAAATAACTGCATTATTTGCACCACCCTACCTTTCACTTAAGAGTCCAGATTTAGCAAAGACCATTCATATTATTTGAATTTTTTCAGAAAAGCACAGTCTCATATGAAGACACTATTTTATATAGTTAGTTTCTTATATAAAAGTCTGGGGACTTTCAAGTTGGTTGAAAGAAAACACAGCCCTTAGTCATATGCTGATTTTCCAACAAAGTTACAGCAAGGAGCTTCAGCTAAAAATAGAATATGTATTTGTGCATTCCTGGTGCCCTGCCAAACTTCAGGAGGGCTTTAGTTTCTAAATAGGATAACCATCAGTGGATAGAAATTTATTTTTTTTGTAGTCTGCATAGCTGGAAGGTAACTTTTAGATGCATTTTAAATAGATAACTTCAAAGTATGCAAGATTACACCATATAGCTTAAAGAAAAATGCTAATCTCTTTATCCTGAAAAATACCTATATTCAAGAGAATAACACGTTTTTTCCACATACTACTTTGCCAACATTTTGTCTCATCATACTAAGAGATCCATTTTCACAGCATTTTTGATTATTCATAGATTTGCATGCAATCACTAAATTGGGTCTCTTACCATACAAAAGAATTCAACACAACCCTGTGTCAGTGAAATTGTCAGGATTATATGGCTTAATCGTTCAATCAACATCCTTCCATAGCAAATACTCTTCTGTCAGACCATTTTTAAGTATAACCAAGCTGGAATCCGTTTGAAGATTCCAGATAGAAGAAAGAAAATGTTATTGCCAGCAGAGACTACTTGGGGGAGGGATTCATATGCTGTGTGTACATGTACGTATTAACAGATGAAACCACTATCATGACAGCTAATATCTCTTCACTTGCTTCTATTATCCATCACTGCCTGTTACATGTACCACATCCAAGACCACAGTGTCGAGTGTCTCACTAAAATGTGAGATGAGCAACATAGCGGGAAGAAAACCTGTAAGGTTACCACAAACAGAACAAAATCTAATCTAACAATGTCAGATTTACACAAGGTGGTGGTGGGGGTGAGAAGAGCATGAACTAGAAAAGACAAAAATTTTACATAAAGCATAGGTCAGGAGTTGCAAAAAGATTGATAACCTTCTGGAGGTGGGCTTAGCTCAGACTCCAGTTTGCCCTAAGAACGGTGAACATGAGCTGCTCCCTATTTCCGTAAGCACACATTCCCTCTTTCCCCCATGAAAATTACCAATCGCAAGAAGCAATGCAGGATGCCTGTGTGTCAGACGATGTCAATCCTTCATGCTTTGTCTATTACATAAGACAATGCCATGTTCACACGGAAGTATGCAAAGCTACTAGGTACTGCATTTTGAGACTGTGTGATAAAAGCATGAGCAGAGATTCCTTATGTCTGTGCAGATCTTTATCATACAAAATGCAGAAAAGCTGTACCACACCTCCCTTCCAATGGACTGTCATGAAAGGAAAAGCTTAACATATCACAGAATCACAGAATCACAGAATAGTAGGGGTTGGAAGGGACCTCTGTGGGTCATCTAGTCCAACCCCCCCGCCGAAGCAGGGTCACCTACAGCAGGCTGCACAGGACCTTGTCCAGGCGGGTCTTGAATATCTCCAGAGAAGGAGACTCCACAACCTCCCTGGGCAGCCTGTTCCAGTGCTCCGTCACCCTCAGAGGGAAGAAGTTCCTCCTCATGTTCAGACGGAACTTCCTGTGCCTCAGTTTGTGCCCATTACCCCTTGTCCTGTCACTGGGCACCACTGACAAGAGCTTGGCCCCATCCTCCTGACACCCACCCTTCAGATATTTGTAGGCATTTATAAGGTCCCCTCGCAGCCTTCTCTTCTTCAGGCTGAACAAGCCCAGTTCCCTCAACCTCTCCTCGTAGTGGAGATGTTCCAGTCCCCTCACCATCCTTGTAGCCCTCCGCTGGACTCTCTCCAGTAGCTCTTCATCCTTCTTGAACTGGGGAGCCCAGAACTGGACACAGTACTCCAGATGAGGCCTCACCAGGGTAGTGTAGAGGGGAAGGAGAACCTCCCTTGTCCTGCTGGCCACACTCTTCTTGATGCACCCCAGGATCCCATTGGCCTTCTTGGCAGCCAGGGCACACTGCTGGCTCATAGTTAACCTGTCGTCCACCAGGACACCCAGGTCCCTCTCCGCAGAGCTGCTCTCCAGCAGGTCCACCCCAAGCCTGTACTGGTGCATGAGGTTGTTCCTCCCCAGGTGCAGGACATGTTAAAGATGTCTGAAAAGTCAGACCGAACCTATGAGCTAGGCAAACAGATCAAGCATACTTTTCAAAAATTAAAAAAAAGTGTGTTATACAAGATGAACTATATGTGCCAAAGCTGTACACGTAGATCTAAATCAGTAAAAATGGTGTTATAACTGTAAACACCGACTCAAAGATGACCTACCTACTTTTTTTGGGGGGGGGGTGGTGGTGGTGATGGTTTTTTTTGTTCAAACACTTCTGATCCAAGTTTCCCCAAGTAATTAAGTCTGGAACGCTCTATCCTTTATGAGTTTCCATTAAGTCCAAATGAAGATTCTACTTGAGAGTTTTCCTCCAAAAGTTCTACACTCCTTCAAGATTATTCTTCAATGCTAACTTACAAACGCCCCAAAAAAAGACATCTGTAGGCATTTTCTTTACATGTCTATGTTACAGTCTTTACTGTTACATCATCGACACAGGAAGTGCATATACCAACTAAGCTTTCCTTTGAAGGAAGGATATCACCTTTACAACCACCACGGGATGCGCACTGCAAGAACACCGAAACGTTCATGAAAATAAAATGAAGTCTGAAGGGAAATCCTACTGTGATTTTAAATTTAGAAAGTAACAGCTTGAGAAAGCCGTGGACTTTTTCAGTAATACACCCATTTGCCATTATCTCTTACCACTGTTGAAACAATCATTCCAAGAATGAGAGCACCTAGATCTTTATTGCTTTCTAAATTAATAGTAAGTTGATTACGCAACACGAATCCTTAGCTGCTGTAAAACTTCCATGAAATTACAAGCTGATATTCAGCCAATCATAGTACGCACCAGAGCGTATAACCTGCTTTTCTTTCACCATAGCAGTTTTATCATTCACATTCTAGTAAAAGGTTTTACATCTAACTGAGCACACGGAGGTCTGATATCCAACATTAAGAATTATGAAAAAACATCAGATTGACACAACGTTCTTACTTTTAGCAGTTCAAAATAATGAAGACAGTGGTAAACAGGGGCAAGGAGCAGCCGGGGTAGAACATACTGAACAGCTTCTTTAAAGCCTTCACCTATTGACTAGAAACAAAATAAGTTTCAGTCTTAAAACAATAAATGTATCGAAGCAACAATATAATGTAATTAAAATAGTAACATCAATAATATGGCTTACTTAATAGAAAGTTACCTGTAAATAAAATGCTGCTCCTGGCTTTGACAACTGACTTAGAAAATGATCGTGAAAACCAGGTCGCAAAATATCTTGTGCATATGATTCATATGGATCAAATGCTAGTTCCTAAGAAGAAATACAGAATTAATTTTACAAAACTGATTTAATACCTAAACTTCCTATTTCTTAAATAAAATACACATACTGTATAGGAGAGACTTATCTGCATACTTCTCCCAAAACACCTACAGAGAAGAATCATTACTTTTATGTGCACAGACTCATGGATAATTCAGTCCGGAAGACATCTCTGAAGGCCAACTGGTCCAATTCCCTGCTCAAAAGCAGGGCCCATCTCAGAGCCAAAGCCAGATCCAGCATCAAAGTTAGCTAAAGTAGCTCAGGGCATCATCCAGGTAAGTACAACATTCCAATGTTCAGTTGTTCACATTGCAGATCTCCCTCCCCCAGTATCTAATGAGGATTACCCTTTTTACCATCCACATGCTCTCTCTCATCTTGCCTCACAGTTCTCTGCGGTGAACCTTCAATAAGAGCCTGCCTCAAGCCTTTTCCACACCTTCCCTTCAGGTCACTGAAGACAGCAATAAGATCACAGAATCACAGAATGTTCAGGGTAGGAAGGGACCTCTGTGGGTCATCTAGTCCAACTCCCCTGCCGAAGCAGTTTATGAACATAGAGCTTCACAAGGGTAAGCCAAACTGCACAACTTCTCGAGCGCAGTCACAGGTGAGTAGTAGTATATGCTAGCCAGCGTGCCTAAGCACTGACAGCATCTCTCCATCAGGCCAGCAACCTGGCTGGACAGGCATAGTTTCATGTTGAAAAGTGCATGAGAGGTTACTGACTATGTAGCTGCAGCTGAACACTCAACGCTGTTCTTCAGCTCTCAGCAGGGCCAAAGAGCACTGCGTACTTTCCAAAAGAATTTTTCTGTGGTCTGTATTATAAATCAGCACTGCCAATAAAAAAAAGCAGGGGACAAAGTACATACGTGGGTATTAAAATGGAAGCTGCATGGAAGAATCCCAGGGACTGGATTCAGTAGTACAGATAGGGAAGAAAGAGGACCGAGACATGGTGATTGTGTATTGCAGTAGGAATAGGAAAGGACTGCACAGAAGGATGCAAGGAGCTAAAAGCCTTCCAGTGATACACTACAGTGTGAAGAGGGACACTAGGAACATGAGGGAAGGTGGAACTAGCACAGGATGAAGGCAAAAGTGCAATCAAATGTTAGTCTTTAATGGCTAATCTTTAAAGATCTCCTTCCTTTGACTTCTCTTTTTAAGACAGAATATACCCAGCACTCCTAACCCTCTTTGTACATCACATGCCTCAACTCCTTAATCATGGCAACCCCATGTTTAAGAGCATCTTGTACTAGGAAGACCAAACCCAGACACAGTATTCCAGATGTGGTCTCAAGCGCTACAAAGAAACAACCCCTCAGCCGCCGGCTACACTTTTGCTAGTATAACCCAGTAGGCAGTTAGCTTTCACTTCTGATTCCTGAGGATTTCCAAGCCCCGTCAAGCAGTATTGCTCCTCAGCCATGCAGCTGGACAATTGTATGGAGTTGTTTGGTCCCAGATGCAGAATTTCTTTGCCTTCACTCAACTCCACGAGGTTCCTGTGGGTCCGTTTCTCCAGCCTGTCAGGTCCCCCAAGAAGCAGCCCTGTCCTCTGGCGTGTCCCCTCACAATTTGGCATCACCTACCAACTTAATGAGGCAGACCGTCTCCCACAACACTAATACAGACATTAAACATTATCAGTCCCTGTATCAAACCCTGAGGAATGCCACTAACCTTTGGCCACCAGATGACTTTGTATTGCTGGTGACAGTCAAGCTGGTGACCAAGTTTACCTCCAGCTGATCTGCAGTCCTCTTAATAACATTTCCACCTGCCTAGACAATGCTTCTACATTCCTCCTGGAAAGCCTGTTTCTTTTTGAATCATAGAGTTATATAGGCTGGAAAAGACCCTTCAGATTGAGTCCAACCATTAACCTAACACTGCCAAGTCCACCACTAAACCATGTCCTTAAGTGTCACATCTACAGGTCTTTCAAATACCTCCAGGGATGGTGATTCAACCCTGGGCAGCCTGTTTCCATGCTTGATAACCCTTTCAGCAAAGAAATTTTTCCTATTATCCAATCTAAACCTCCCCTGGCGCAACTTGAGGCCATTTCCTCTTGTCTTACCGCTTGCTACTTTGGAAAAGACACCGACACCCACCTCACTACAATCTCCTTTATTGTACAGAGCGATAAGGTCTCCCCTGAGCCTCCTTTTCTTCATGCTAAACAACCCCAGTTCCCTCAGCCACTCTTCACAGGACTTGTTCTCCACACACTTCACCAACTTTGTTGCTCTTTTTTGGATGTGCTTCAGCACCTCAACGTCTTTCTTGTAGTGATGGGACTGAATTTGGTTAAACAGGGAACTCCAAACTGCGCTTGTCCTTGCCTCCTGCTCTACCTACCCTTTTTCTCAGGGTCTGAGAGTGCATAATCCTTGGGCTTTGAATACACCTCCTTTGAAAATAAACCAGCTCTACTGAGCCCATTCTACCCTCAAGGCAGCCATCAACATGATCCTGCCTCCAAATTCTCTAAACAAGCTAGGTCTACTCGCCCAAAGCCCAGGGTCTTCAGTCTGCTTACCTCCTGCACTTTTCTCAGGACCTTAAGCTCTACCATCTTTAGCACCTGCGGCCAAGCCTGCCATTAGCTACAATGTTCCTGCCAGTTCTTCCCTGTTCATGAGAAAGCAGTCAAGTGCAGCACTTTTCTTAGTTGGCCCATCAGCATGTGCCACAAAAAACTGTCCCCAGAGCCCTCCAGAAATCTGCCCGATTACTTGAATCACAGTAAATTGTTCACCCAGCAGATGTCAGGAAGGTTATTCTCCCAAGACAACCAGGGGCTGTGATACAAAGATGACTCGTACTTGTTCAGAAGAGGTTTTGCCACTTGTCAACTGGGCAGTCTTTGCAGAAGCTTGACCACAACACGTCCTTTGGTGGCAACATCTAATCCTTAAGAATTCAACCAGCTCATCATTCATCCTGTAACAGAGCTCCATATATTTGGGCTCATCTTTTACTAAGCCTCCTGGCTTCATCTTCCCCACCTGTCCTTCTTGAGTGCCTGTATTAGTTCATACAGCTCTCCATCCTGCAAGCCCTCTTGCCATGTCGCTAATTCCAGTCACACAATAGATCTGCAACTGTTCATGGACTCACAGATCCTTTTATCTGTACGTGAGTACACGCACCCTGGGGAAACAGACACTTCAGATGAGCCTTTGATCATCCCACCTTCTCAGGAGGAAGGTGCAAAAGCCCTTGTTGTCATGCTTTCTGTTACGCACATCTCCTTCTCTCAGTTCGGCAGTCTGCAAGCTTTGGTCTCCATCCACTAACAAGCCTTCCTCATGAGCCTAGCAAGCCTGTTGGCAAAGCAGCCCTTGTTCCACTCTGTCTTTCCATAGCAATCCTGATCTACAGCCGATTTATAGGATGCCTCCATTTCTGTCAAAGTCTAGTCACAGGTGTCTGTTGGGTTCCCCCCCTGCCCCACCCTCTCTGAGGTTTAAACAAGCCTATAAAATCCAAGTTTTAGAAATTAAAAAGATAAAAGCACTCTCAAAAATGGGCAGGCTATTAATCATGGTGGGGCTGGAAGGAGAGATCTCAGCCTAAACACCGGCAGCTACAACACAGATGCATTTAGCATCTAAGTGCAAGTCATTAAAATACACATGAGTAGTAAAAAAACCCCAAACTATTTTCTTACCTCTGCCATATCTTCAAAACAGCTGCCTACTAGTGGATGAGGACTACCTTCATCTGTCATTTCAACAGTATCTTCTATATGACCCAATAACTTCACACTAAGTTCATGAATGTCCGATATACGACTAAATATATTTTCCACATCCTGCAAAAAAGCAACAGACCCCGACAAAAATCAACATGGAATTGGACACAATTTCTAAGAGGAAGAATGTTATGTACAAAGCAACCCAGTTACGATATGAAAGTCAAGCACTTCCTTAAACAGAACTAGATTTTATAATATATTTTATTACATGCTTTCTGTACAATTCATGTAAGATGACAGAATTTATTTTTAAAATATTTTTACAGTGACTCAAACACAGCAAAGAACAACAGTGACAAACCTTAAATTACTGGCCTGCAAGTGAACATAGTAAATTGGGTAGTTTCTTCAACAGTTCTACAAAACCAGTGCTTCCCCACAATTGCTCCTTCACTACTTCCATTTCAGAACTCGAGTGCCTCCTCTACTACTGATGTGTTAAACTGGACAACAGTTAAGTTCTAGAAGTGTTCATCTAAATTTATAGATATTATAGCAGGAATTTGTTTGTGGTTTTTACAATACTTACATGAGATGAAAATAGTTTGGAGTTGGAGGCATATGGCTCTCTAAAAACTCTGATAATGAGATTTAGTTCCCTTATATATTGTCGAACCTCTGCCATAAATGACTTCACTAGGTCATAATAGGTTTGCTCCCCTGAGGTGGAGGGTTCCTCATCAGATAAAGTTAATGCACTTAAATCTTCTACATCTTGATGGAACATATCCATTAACACCTACATAGCGAAGAGGGGGAAATCCACAAAGTGAGAACAACTTCTTTTCAAGATCTACCAGTAAGTTACCAGCAAAGGAAATCTATTATTCCAACGAAATCAGACTGATCAGCACTAAGATTTATGTATTATCATTCTGTAACTGGTTGAGCATTTCAAAACCAATATTAATTGCTATGAATTCATGAGTCATTATTTGCAGTGGCAATTTCTGAAGACTTCCCAGTCATTTAGACCAATCCAGGCATCTCTCCAAGAACGGGGTCCTAAAATCAATTACAATTTTAAGAGGTCTATGAACTATAGAGACACATTGAGCATTTAGCTGTATTCTATTACTCTAAATTAGCCGTACATAATCTAAGTTTCTGAAGATAATATAGTACCTGAAGTCAAAAAGTGTGTGCATTTTGGCTTTTCAGCTTTAGCAGGAAGTCACACCTGATTACGCTCAGAACCCTGAAATCTATCATGGATGAATACTGGCCTGCCCACACACTGTACGTGGCCTGGTTTCTGTCCTTAATTCCTGAGAGTTCTCTTGTTAGAATGGACCTTCGAGAAAGGGCACCAGCTTCTGAAAATGCAGCAGTCACATTACAGAACTACATAAACAAAAAGACCTCTAAAAACTATGACTACCAGAGGTCCCAATTCACACCCAAGCAAGGTTACCAAACACAAGCAATTAATAATTCAAAGTTTTCAAGAGAAGTGGATCACTGAACACTTCTTCCAAACATTGTATATGAGCCAGGAGTCATTACAGAGACTTCGCAAGTAGCAAACAGAAATCACACTCTGGGTTGTCTCCATGATACTCAAAGAACATCTTAAAGGTAAACTAAATATGTTGACTGCAAATTAGTAAAAGCCATCCTAATTTGAAGTATCTTTAGCAGAAAGAAAACCTCAAGAGGGTCCACAAGCAATCTACAATGATGTAGCAAATCTTAACAACAAGCCAGCACAAGATGTAGTTCAACACACAAGATGACTTTGTCCTGGGATAGACAGATGGGACAGTATTTTTAAACAAATCTGTTGTCCAGAGCTACAGCCCTTGCAGCAAGTTACGAAGTGTATTAAACAATACATGTGAACTTCAAAATAAATGAAAACTTAAGTGCTGCTTGCCAGCCTCCTTTCCGAACAGATGGAGGTGAAGCCATGGCAACCTACGCCTGTTACTGCAGAGGCTGACATGACTGCTGTCAATCACCGAAAAGACTGAGGAAAAGACTGCAGGATCAAAGCTGTAAATACTCCTCTGAGAGCCACAGAAGGGAAGGCTAACACCTTAAACATGGACTAGAGTTTATAAAATGGCAGAAAACAGAACGAAAAAGCATTTTTCAAAATAATTGTAAAACTGGACATCAAGAATTCAACTTCTGAACGAGTCACAACAAACACGACATTTACCCTGGAAGCATGTTACAGGTGCTTCTCCAAAAGACATGTCAGTTAACCAAGTTGCTGACTACTAGTATTAGACAAATGAACTATTCTGCTATAGAGTACTTGGGGATCTAAAAGTTCAAGAGATGGTCTGGTAGGTTCATCAGACTTGAGTATTGCAAGAAACACACCTACCTAGAGCAGTCATTCTTCACCCAGGTCTTGTCCTAACACTCCTCAAAAATATACAGGTCTAGCGAGGAGGGAAATGGGCACACAGCAGGTTCTTTCTCCTAGTGAGTCAGAGGTCCCTGCTACACACCCTGGTCTTAAGCTTCTCTGAAAGCAGAACAATGGACATTTCACATTAAGACTGACTTCTCCTGAAGCTCTAAGAACAGAAGGCAATTCATCTTTCAAAGCCAGTGAATGTACATGGAACTCAGGTTGTAAGGAGAACCCTAACTAATTCTGGGGAACAGGACATCATAAGGTCGCTACTGTAGGAAATTACATGGAACAGTGGAGGTATTCAAGGAGGCAAATATTTTTAACTTTACTTCATGGATGCAGTTCTAGCACATACTTGAGCTAGAAGATTCCAAGCTGTATTCATGACGTGCTTGTCTCATTACTATGAAATCCACAGAAACAAATTAAAGTAACTATAGTCCAGATATTGAATTTAGAGCAATTGGAAGCAAGAGCAGACTGCAGAAGAAAAACAGCTTGCATTTTAATGGAGTCTGGTTTTTGCAGACAAGGCAAAATTTTCCAGATGGATGGATGGCACAAAAGCAAATGTGAAAGTGCTTGAGAAAAAAAAAAAAAGGCACACAGGGCCAAGAAAATGTTCTGGTTGTTTTGTTTCAAAAAATAAAAACAAGCAGAACACATGTTGTGCGTATGTACATAATATACTATAAAGTTTCTCAATGCAACTGGAAAGAAAACACCTTGAGAGCACCTTTCAACAGCTTATTCTGCTGAGGCAGTAAACCAGCACGCCTGCTTTAGAGCCTTTCAAAATATTCTTCTGTGTGCATATCAAAGAGTTCCTCCAAAGTAATGGAAGTTCCTAAATCAACTTCTTCACAGCTCTTCTGTTCACCACCTTTCCTAGGATAGAAAGAAGCATGCAGCAACAGCACTTGTTCCTGTTACTATTCTATGACAAATATTCAAACATACACCTTCAAATCCTGCCCTAACGACCCAGGCAGATGTGCCCAAAAGCAAGAGTGACCAAGACTACTGTCCTGACTGAGAAGTATTTGACTCTTCAAGACAGAGACAACCCCATCCAAAGATATTGATTAACATAGACCAAGACAAACTACTGAAAAGAGGTCATAAATCTGAAAATCCCTAGATTTCAGTACAATTAGAGATTCTTAAATCCCATCTCTTCAAGGATTAACTTCAAGATTTGTTTTTTAAACAATGGGAAACTTGAGATGCTAATGAGGTGGCCACAGAAGTTAGAGCACAAAGACATCTGAAAGACAGACAGGGGACCTTGCTCTATCACTGCTGGAAAGAAAGCCGACTCATGTCTGAACCTAATCCATCTTCTGAAGGTACAAGAATGACTACCTGCAGATAAAAATAAGGACCACTAAGGAGGATTAGACTGAGATGCTAATGCAGGTGCATTTATTATTTTAAAATGCTGGACCATCGAAACACTACTTTTTACATGCAGTAGTTGTCCTTATTTTGGGAGAACACCCAAGCTTAATTTCAGCCTTATTTTTTCAAGCTACAAAATAGGACTCCACTATTACAGTTTAGGAATGTTAAATTTTTAAGTTAGCACTGCTTCACAAAAATTTTTAAGCATTCACATATAGTTGAGATTAGGCAGGTGATATCAAAATGGAGACTTAACTATTACAAGCACAAACAGCAGCTCTGTAAGCTCAATTAGCTTTTTCGTAGCTTTCCTCTATTACTAGAACCATATTTTATGGCAGTAATTTCTTCTTTCAAAGATACAACATTCCATGTACTCAATAAGGAATAGACATTGTCCTCTACTAAAATTCCTGTTAACATGAGAAACAAGAATTAGGCTTACCTTATCAGCACACATTGCCACTTTAATATCTTGTTTTGTAATCTCATAATGTCTTATATTCCGCACATAATTCCCAACCAATTTTAAGATGTCTGCAGAAATGTATTCTAATACTGCCACTATGTAAACAGACACTTGGTGGTCAATTTTGTAGCCTAGAACTTCCTGAAAGGAAAAAAAACAAGCCTTCCATTGTTATTCAGTCAATGAAATACACACCATGGGTTACATCTAAACCCAGTCAGTTTAAGATCCTACTCAATAAACATTCACCACATACCCACAGTCTATTTTAGTAATAGAAACACAGTAGTCTGTAGACCTAGAGAAGAAACAGCGTCATTGTAGATGCTGTTTAATTAACTTGGGAAGTGACAACAGACAATGACTGTCCCAAAAACCTCACTTAAAATGCTCAAGATACTTCTTGAAATATCCATAAATGTTTTAGTCAAGGAAAATGAAACACGAACAATCAAATTCATAGCAAATGAATTCTTGGATTGGTGTGTCCAATAGAGAATTAACAAATTTTTAAGTGAAAAAAGAAATCTATGCAATTAACTAAACTGGAACACTTAAAAGTATGTAACAAATAGAGACCCCTATTCCTTTTTGTTTACATTTCAGGCAGCATACAGACATTATGTGAAACAAAAATGTCAACTTGTAATTGCATTCTAAAAGCAAGATTGCATCTCAGCTTACCTTTAATAAGGGATGGATTTTTTCTACTGGGAGAGATAAAGGATTTCTTCGTTTCCTCTTCTCAATAGCAGACTGGGCATCAGCTATTGCCCACTTATCAATAGGATGGGGAAAACTTTTTTGAACACGATCCTTAAAAAAAACAGCACTAAAGGGTAAATGCACAATCTGAATGAGCTTAGCAATATTACTATATTATCAAATCACTTTCCATTACTCAACAAAGGAATGCTTGCTAATGTTAGTAATTCAAAAGCTCATAGAACACATAAATTTTATCATTTTGGTATATGCTGCTCACCACATGCAGAAGGCTGTCTCAGAATATCATTATCATATAATACTCTCGTGCTCAAAATTTGAGAAATGTCAGAATACAGCTGCCATTGGAGGCATAATTTGCTCCCCTTGTGCACATGCCTGGCAATTCAGCATTTAAATACATGACTACATTTCATCCTAGCACTTTATTCCCTGTACAGAATGGTCACTGGATGAGATGATATGAGTTTTCTGTTCCATCTCTAGTGATCAGCACATGGTCCAGATTGTACATACACAAACTGCTCTGACAATGGCAATGAACATCGAAGAGATGAAAAGAGAATGTCCAACAGCACCCACGTATTTTAAAAACAGTTTCTTAGTCTAAAGTTGGACCATATATGCCCCAGTTTATTCACTCCTTCCAGCAGTCAGGGTGCCTGAGGATACCTACACTCTCCCATGCATTGAACAACTCTCCTGCTGGAACTCACACACAGATCTCCGTAGGTTCAAAACCCTCACTGTTTTTGGTAGCCCTGGCATTCAGAGATTCCAGAAACCTAATTTATCAGATAATTTCACATTTTACTTTTTCAGAGCACAGTTCCCACTGACTGTTTCAGTTGCAAGTGCTCACTTACGTAAATAGAAGCCCCATTTCAGCAACCATTAAATGAGGAAGATGAAGTTAATGACCACTTACAAAGAGCTGGTACAGGTACACAAACAAACACTGACAAAAAACTGGGGTAGAATACAATACTATATAAGTGGCACTCAACTTTCGAAAGTACAGGCTTTTTTCCTCCCCTAATCATAACATGCAAAAGGAAAGCTGAGGTCCTATCAAAAAAAAAAAAAAAAAAAGAAAAAAGGTCTCATTCACTATCTAATACCAATTCTCTCCCTTAACATAGTCCAGCCTACTGATTGAGCAACGAAGGTGTCCTGGGGGAAAAATAAACGCCTATGACCATATAATTAAAGACAACATCATTATGCATAAACACAAAGGGGGTAAATTGAGGTTGCTTGATCATCTCTAATTCTTGCATTTCTCATCCTGACTTCACAGCCATAAGACTCATAATGCAACGCTCTTTGTCAAGTTTTTTGTTAGCCTTGTTTAAAACACAGCATTTAACAACCTTCCACAAACCTTGTCTCTTGAGCTGCCAGACCAGAACGATGTTGCAAAACAGGTCAGCCATAAAAGGGGACACTGGAACACGATTAGAGGTGTCAGTGTCCAAAACAAGAAGTGGAAGAATGAAATTCATGAATCCTGAGCTCAGAGACAGCTACCGGGGTTTTTTAAGGTTTTGTTGTTGCTGTTTTGGGCGTCATTTTCTTTTTCCCCCCATTAGTCCACTTTCTTCAGAACATGAGGAAGTTGCATCTTGTTTTTCACCTGACCCAGCACAGGCACAGTCCGCAAGTACTAGAAACCCACAGACACGCTGCACGTGGAGTCTGTAGCTTGGTACCAAAGTCTTCAAATCACAGTGAAGCACAAAGGGCTGCCAAGATATTCATGTGCTTAGAAGCTTAATTCATTTAGCTTAACTGATTTGTTTCTCAGATGGAGAAACTCTCCTCAGATCAAGGCTTCTTCTCAAACATCAAGTTCCTTCTCTGAGCAACAGAGGTTGTAGATCTTTGAAAAGGCAATTGTAATTGAAGAGGTTTCCATATAGAGGAAAGAAGTGTTCCTCAACTCATTCTGAGAAAGTGACTGAACTATTTTTGTTCTAATTTCCGGGACGGCGGGGGGTATTTCAGCCTAAATCACCATGCTGAGAAAGCAGCACAGAGCCTCAGACTAAGCAGCTACATTTTGTATGCAATATCAGTGGGGTAAAAAGGTCTTTTTAAAGGAACCAGTCAGCTTTATGTACACAAAATACACTCACCATCTATTCTACAGTAGTACAGTTCAGAGATATTTTTACTACGCATTGAACAACAAATTCAACTGACAGGAAAATCAGCTATTAGGTAACTCAGCAGGCATTATGCAGAAGGTTCTGCTACATAAAGATACACAATTACTGCTTTCTTTTTTACACTGTGAAATGATTAATACATCAACTTCTCGTGTAACTGTTCAAATTATTACAGATTTATAATAATTATTCTCTATACCTCTACATCCAGAAAACTCCTTGGTTGCGCTTGACACAACATATTTAACAACTGGAGAATTAACTCTTCCACATACTGTAATGCATCTTCAGTAGAGGAAAGTTTAGGATGGACTTGCACCTGAACCTATAAAAAACAGAAGAATTCAAGCTCTGAGTTATGCTCTTCCCCAAAGCACATGCTTTACTTGCAAAAAAAGATGACAAAAGAATGACCCAAACAGCTCAGAAAAATCCAACCTAAAAAGCAGCTCAGTTAAGGCACACCAGATGAACATGAGCGAAACACTCATCTACACCCGACAGAAACACAAATCTCAAGTGTTAAGTGTACTCAAATCACTAAGTGACATTTAACGTCAAGAAAACAGCTAATAACAGCACTTAGCAGTGCAACTAGGAAAACTGTTTAAAAACCCTGCATATATTTATCTTTCACCCCTAGCTCTTCAACCACTGTTTGTACAAGACATTTTAGACACAGGTTTTTCTCCCTTTTACAACTCACTGCTCGTCACTGAATCTATAATAATGAAATACAGAACTTCTCACAGAGAGCACTACATAAACAGCAATGATTTCGGCATATTAAGCCTTCAAATTATTTAATCCATTCCCAATTAGCTCTCACTAAAATAAGACTGGTACTGATTTTTTAAAAATATGTCAGCCTCTAACATGAAAAACACTTCCAAAAAAGGCCACAGAGTTGTCCTGGCATTAAATGGCAGTTAAGAAGTTTTGGAAGTTTGGTCCCTGCGTGTCTTGTTTACTTGTATGTTATATGTGTCTGTAAATTCTCAGTGGCGTAAATCCACCGAGCCACAATCCTCCTTGCTTCTTCCATTATTCTTCCAGATAGTCATTTAACTTCTGAAAAAAGCCTCCAGTATAGCTTTCTTTTGCACTTCGGTAGTTCACAAAATAGCACTGTTTTAACCAATTTAAGTTTCAGGTATGCAAAGCTCAGTACCTCAGAGCTTAAACAGACAGGCATTTTAATCTCAATCCTATGCCGATGGCAAATATTAGGCCAGAGCAAGCTGACTGCTAACTTTCGCAATGAATCTTTCAAGTCCCAGTTTCATCATTTTACCATTCCACTGCACACAACTCAAAATGCCTCCAGTTCTCTCAATCACTAACACAAGAGCTTAACCACCTTAAACCAAAACACAACAATCTGTCTCATTCAAATATTAAACCCATGTCTATATTCAAATAATGATACCATAATTATTTCATTTCACACCTGAATTTTCATTCCTGTTTGCAGTTATAGCAAGAATTAAAATGTGAAGAAGTTCAAACACACAACAGCCTCAAATAGAAATCCACTTGCCTGCTAAGGCACTCATTAGTTTGACAACATCATGTCTGGGCATAGTCCTGGTGCTCATTTAACCGCTGGTGAGATTTAAATATGCTACATCATGCATTTAGTTACTTGCAGACTGCATACCCTTACATAGCAGGTCCTAGAGAACATCTCCAGGAGTTATCACATTTTTAACTTAAAAGCACTCTGGTAAAAATAGAACAGGAGAACTTCTCTCCATTTGACTAGCTAATGCAACTATTTTGATTATGCCAACAATTTCATTCTTCCTAAGAACTTCACTGCGCACAGCTACAGATTATGTTTGTACCCAAGTAACAGCATAGCCAGTAGTCCCAAGCATTACTTACTATTCAAACACTGGCATGTGAAATAGCGTACCAACTTTAAACATCTTAACACCAGAAATTACAGACTTGCAGAAGTATTCTCTTAAAGATCAGAGCTGATCTGAGCTGCCTGGAAGATGCTGCCTTTAATGTTATTCTTTTAAGGCAGAACTGAACAAATCTGTGTTACATTCACCCTACAGTATACTCTAGTACTTTCTATTTTGAGAAGTGTTAAATTATCAAGTCAATCCAACAGTAAAAATACAGAGCATGATAAACCAGAGTGAGAAGAGCAGCTCTATTTTCTCCTTTGCTTAGAAAACAGACAGTAGACTTCTATAGCCTCATCACAACTCCTTCTGTCTGTAACACAGAGTCTACAGGAATAAAAACAAACACACAAAAATACCACATCAGGCCATGACCTAAAATGTTATCCATAGCCAGGCAAAACAGAGTCAACAACGATAACCTACTCCCAGTTCGGGAGATAAAGTTCCAAACATTCTTCCTAAGCATTTATGTTTGGGGAGCAATTATATCATTCTTCTTAAAGGCCATCGTCCTCTGGCACTATCAAGCTCTACTTTAGTAGAATATCCACCTCAGCAGAGGGAAACACCAGGAGGTGCCATTGGCTTGCCAGAGTAATTTATCTATATTAGGTAGGTAGTAAATAAGCTTCATTGCTACTTTAATGAGATTTAGTATCATTTAGGGTTCAAAGTCACACAAGCGAAAGCAAGAAAACAACTAGACTAACAAGGAAAATGACAGGATAGCTTGGTGTACAATTATCATAGAAATATGTAATTTTAGTACCCACACTACTGCAGTACCTAAAGGCTCAGACTGAGAATGAACCAGTGTTAGCTGAGGGTACTCAAAGCAAGTCCCAAGAAGTCCGTTATCTAAGGCGTGATGCAAGACTGGGTAAGATGCAAGATTTAGTAAGAGAAAAGAAGAAATGAGAACATCTGTTAGCATACAGCGTCACGTGACCAGTTTCAAAAAAGATGATCAAATTACCAGGGGGTTTCCGTCTTTCTCATGAAGCCAGCTCAGATTTTAAATTAAGAAAACTGGGCCACCCTGCCTTATCGCCCTTGAAAAGGAACAGTATGGCTTGAATCCTACCAGATCCTTCACAGTCCTATGTTAGGAATGCACATGACAAAAAGAGACTAACAACTTCTGAAGTGTAGTGATGTTTAGACAAGATTCTTATCTAAACATTTAACCTCTCCCTTAAATAATGACAGAAACCATCCCTTTCCTCCTATACACACTCACCAAGACGTGCATCTTATGATAAGGGAAATTACTAAAAAAGCAGTTTAAGATCTTGTCACATAATCTTCAATTCTTTGAAATACCCCAACAAACTAACGGGCAAATACAATTCACATCAGCTACAAATCCCTGCCTCCATGGCTCCGTTTTCACTCATCGGATCACTTTTTTCAATGTTCAATCTGCTCAATCTTTTTTATTTCTCACAAGAGAAACGACGAGGATTCTCTTTGTTTGAAGCTAAGCAGAGCCAGCATTTCTTGAACAGCTTTTCATGCTCTGTTTAAGAACACAAGCAGAGACAAGCAGTGACTGCTTAAGAAAAATCGCAGCACTTCAGGAAAATCCTATGATATGACCGCTTGGATTTTTTTTTTTTTTTTCTTCCCTTAAAATAAACAAAAGCAAAGAATTTCTATCAGGAATGACAGCAGCTTAAAAACTAGCAACCATAAATCTAAACTGCCAGAAAAAGTCAATGAAACCAACCAAAAAAAAAATGCACTTAATGAATACTACAAAGATAAATATATCTGACCTTGCTTCATAACCCTTAGCAACTTCTTTTATATAAAGCTTTCTCAAACCATTCCTTTCAAACTCTACATAATAATCAGAATATAAACACTCCCACAAGCCTCACGGGAAGCAGAAGGGACCTAGACTAATTCCAGAAACAAGTTCCAGTTAAAGAACTGCAGCCAGAACACATTCAGTTTACACATAGGCTTGCTCCAACACCACAGCTCCTAGGCTGGTCACAGGATGACCCAAACCAGAGTCTCGATTGACAGTCAGCAGCTCATTCTGCATTAGAAGGAGGTGTTTGACAACAGATAAGAATGGAAGACTTGCAAATTTAACGATCTGATTGATACTAAACCACACTTCCTTAGCAACAGTTTTCAGTTACCTCTTCCTCCTGCAGCCATGAGAAAAAGCCGAATTTATGTTAACTGTAAAGCTGAAAAATTTCAACTTACAATGAAAAAAACACTACACAGACTTCTAAAAGCAACTTCACGTTATACAAAAACATCAGCGTAATGCTCCCAAATCGTCGTTAACAATCAACACAATCAGGCTCGTGCTTCTCACTTGTTCTGATAAATACAGAACACGCCAGAAAAATCCTACGTGTGAAAGGCTGCAAAGAGAATAATATCAAACTGAGGCCCATCAGGAGCAGCAGAAGCTCCAGCAGCTTCAGAAAAGTGTATAACAAAAACAAATCGTTCTAAAGCTACATAACAAACAGATAAAAACAAAGCATCTACTGTTGGTTATAGAATTTTTATCTTATCTGGGCAAGACTACCCATCTACTGGGATTCTGGCAAAAAGACATAGTATGGATCAAAAACCAACACCTGCTAAAGAACTGTACTTCAGCGCCACACTGTCAGTCATCCTTGGTGGTAGCTGAACTGTTTGTAAGAAAGTGTCTAAAGGAAAAAAAAACACCATATTTACTGCAGTATTTTGGTAATAAAATGGAAGAAGCTGTAACGAGATGACACACCAAGCTGCTTTCCAAAGCACTATCAGAGAGTGTGAAACTTCACTGATTATAAGAGTTTTTCTGTTTCCAAACCTACAATTTTCTAAATCTTCGCAGACACAGTTTATCCAATGGATTATTACCAGAAATGACTTGGCCAAGAGCAGGTTCTTCAGGGGTGGGGGGGTGAGTTTTCTCCACTACAGTAACTTTGAAAGTCTTCACTAACGTCATAACCCTTATTTTTACTCAACATATCTTTCATTCGTCTTCCCTCAATGACTACAAAACCACTGACAAGCACCTGCTTATCACTAAAACACTCCAGGACGAATTATTTTATGTACAGCTTGCATGGATGAGTGTTCTCATAGTGCACGCACTCCATAAAAAAGTATTTTCTTCTATTCTTGTACACATCTGCTGATATTTGGCAACCCTGCCCATGTTTTGTTATCTTGATCAATTAAAAATCCAGTAAATTAAACCAAATGCAAATGTCTTCGATCCACAGTTCAGCAACAATTCACTGAGGCCGCAAGTCTCAAGATTTTTGCTAACATTTCTCTTGATGTATCAAGACAGCAGTATTACACTGCACCAGTGAGCATGTGAAAAAACATACAGTAAAGACTTGAACTGCAGGAGGATCTTAACTTTATCCTCCATAGCCATCAGAAGAACAGAGAACTCAAAGCGACCAGAAATTAAGGATGTTCTACATCTGCAGTGAGGCGTGCCATGAATAAGAAGTGCCATTCCAAGTAACAACTGGCAACTGGACTGTCATCAATTTGAAGAACTAGGTAATTAAAAGTCAGGTAGAAACATCTTTGTTAGCCACAGCTTCCCAAGCACTCTATAGTCACTGAAGCAGCTGTTCTCATCTGTTTTACTCAATGAAAGGTACAGAAGACTGACTATATGATACATGGAGTATCTGGAAGCACGCTGTCTGGAACAGTTGCCTGTTGAGGGATCAAATTGCCCTCAACTGTCAAGCCACATGAGTCCAATCATTTTCACTGCAAGTTCTGACAGCGTCCCTTGTCAGTTGCTTAACTGATTCACAACAACTTGAGGTACACAAACAGCAGAGTATCTATGCGGTAAAAAAAGTTCTTTGTTTTTTCTCAATCATTCAGTTCCTTAACGTATCAACCGGCAAGGACGACATGCTTTCTGCTGTAAAAACCAACATACCAGGCACATAGAGAAATTCTGAATGCATAAACAAGAGTTATACAAGCACGATGAAGCCACAAGAAAAGATGTTTACAAAAAACTATCTGAAAGTTTATGACCAAAATAAAGTGTATAAATTCACTAGCGAAGGAACACCAATCTTGGAAGAGGCATCACTTTGCAGGTGTCCCTTCTGAGTCCATTTTCCAAGGTGTATTAAAAGCCATGTATCTCCATCTCCAGCCACCCAAGAGCTCCGGTGTTTCGTGTGTCTTGAATCCTCCATCTTCAGCCCCAGCATCTCACCTTCTGTCCATCTCTGCAACTACAATTTCAGACACCAGCTGTTATTCTTACTTCCTTTTCTTGTACCTCATCATCACGATTACTGTCTTTCGTCAGCAACCAAGGATCTCTGCAACACTCCTCTTTTGCTGCTTCAGAATAACAGTGACCAGGCAAAGAAGCATCTCAGTACACACCATTTTCTTCCTAACTGAGTGCACTGGAGTCTATCTTGACAGCATCTGAAGGAGAATCACAAGAAAAGGGATTACGTTATGATCTAAATGGTATAAGAGCTGCTTTTTGCAAATGCAACTGTTCAATGCAAATACAGTTCTATTAAGATTATTATTCTATTATTATTCATGTCTAATGAAACACAAGGCATGCTCTCCTAAGAATTTGTTGATGTAGGAAGAGATTTATTCTTACTATATACTCTTGGTTTTGTTCCTTGATTAAAAAAAAAAAAGCCGAACCAGAAACTCATTGGGAAAAAGAAAGCTATTTACAATGACTCAACAATACCTATTTTTCAAGAAAGCGATTCTGAGGCTGTATTTTGAGCTCCGCATTACAAGCCAACTCACAGTTACAAAAGGGCAATGGCATTTTAATGATTCAGTCCATGTGTGGCAGCTTTCCTCAATAGCTGCGAACACTCCATCCTGGTATATATACTTTAACAATGTTAAATTAAATGCTACTCTCTTCATCGGAGATATCAATTCAGCAGAGGTCTTCCCAAACTATTGAGTCTGATTTCCAGCTATGCAAGAAATCATCACAATCCTGTTTGTGCATCTACCTGGTTTCAAGGTGGAGTTCAGAAAGCAGCTTGCTGTCACTACCTGAGAACGAATGTCAGCATCTGGACAGCTAATGAGGAAAACGAAGGAAAGGTTCTCCTCTAGTAACGAAAGGATGTACATGAGCTTCAGATAATCTGACTCCTACTGAAATAGCATGCTCTGGCAATTCAGCAGACAAAGCCATAAGGCACTAGTTTCCCTCCAGGACAGTTCTGCTCTTTGACCTCACTGGCACATGCTGCCACATTCTCTACTTTACTAGTCCCACAAGATGGCCTCTAGGTACAGCTCAGGTCTTTGTCTAGCAGAGCAAGGGGTCAGTGTCTGAAAGACACTAGCTGCAAAGCTGCAGTATCACACCTGTCTTGTGAACAATGACAGATGATTGTCAAAGCAAGTACACTGCCACGTTCATGGTTTTACCTGCCACCGACAACAGGCTCATTATTTTATGGGGCCTTTATTAGGGCTTAACATCCTAGCCAACACTACTTGTAACGACAAAAGTTCGTAAAATAGCTAGTTTGGTTTCTCCATTAATGAAGAAGCCATTAAGATAATAATTTAATATTATCATCTGCCATTTAGTTTTCCTGTAACTCAAGTACTCTGCTGTTCGGTAAAGCAGGTGACAAAACGGACAGATTCTTCTTTTCTACCTCTACAAGGACAGCAATAGTAAGCAGCAGAAGACCATGCTTCTGGAGCACAGGGGACAACAGCCTGAGAGAAGAAACAAGTGGTGATCTCAAGAAGAACTAAGGTTAAAAATGTTAACTTCTGCGAGACAGTTTCAAGTTTGAGCGTGAAACCCTCAGAACTAACTCCACCTCACTCCTGCCACTCCTCTACCCACCATAAGAAATAGAGCACTGCACAACAAAACTGAGACAACTATACCTTGCAGGGCCAGTTTGTCATCCTTGGTAGCTTGTCATCGTTGGCCTTCTCTGTTCACTTCAGAATCCAGAATTCCTTTTCCCCCCCAAGCAATTTATCCAACTCCTTCAGCAAACATCTTTAATGCAGGGCGACTCCATGAGTGGCTTGTCCATCAGGAAGAAATCTTGCGCTTCAGATGTAGCAAGTAATTCCAAAGTCTTAGTTCATACTTGCCTCGAATCCCCACTCTATGTCCTCCAGTAGCTAGCACTGAGCCTCATTCCAAATTTGACAAGCCTCTGCTAAACCACGGAATAAACCATCCTCCAAAGGAACAAGCTGGCTGAA